ATGTTGTCTGTGCCTAAAATAATTTCATGTTCATCTTGTTATTTTAATTTCCATAATAGCGGAGCAGGTGCGAATTTTAGACGTGTCACGCGTGTCTCCGTTTTAAACATGTTTAAACTGTTCAGAATACAAATCCAGACTCTGTCTCGTTATATTGGTATAACTAAAGTTTGTACTGAATGAAACTTTACATTAAACCATGTTGAAAAGAAAAAGATCCCATTAAATCGTTTTCCCCTCATTTACAGTCACGACGTACAGCGCAGTGCGCGTGGCTCTGGGGTTAATCAAGTTTAGTTGTTTCTCTTTGCAACAATCTTCACAAGAAGGCAAAACAGTTAAATGACAGGTTACAGATATTTCCATTTGACTGTTTATTTTGACGGATAAACTCAAGGATGTTGGATGATTTCCTCCCACTGAAGCGGTCTGGAATCCCGGTCTCTCTGAGGGATCTGTCACTTGGAAAATGTTATTTTTATGAAATTATGAAAGTTTGGCTGAATAGCGCTTGTTCCCGTCTCCAGTATGGAGGCGCATGACGCATCCAGTCTGAGGCAGCTCAGAAAGCTCCTGTAGAGACATTTGGTCATGCACAAAGTTCATGTGGAGCAGAAGCGGTCGGGCCACGGCAGGTGAAATGTTCCTAGCCTACATGAAGTGAAACTGTTTAATTGTAACATTAATATGTTACTGGACACGCTGGTCTGGTTGGTTAGACCAGTGTTTGAAGTGGAAAACACACACACACACACACACACACACACACACACACACACACACACACACACACACACACACTCACACACCAGATAAAATAATGCTGATAGCGTGGACTAGAAGACAGGTGATGGTTTACGTATTTAAATGATGATCAGGCTGCTGTAAAATGTAATCTCCATCCACATCCAGACACAATTATCCTCTATTCTTTCTCTAGTTGCTCTGCTCTTGTCTGGGCTGACAGCTGACGGTGCGCGCGGTGCGCCTAGTGGCTGTGATGCACATTTTACGCATTTGGAGAGGTGGGCCGGATGCTTTGCTTTTATAAGACGGTCCACTTAACGCACGGGTGTAGACTACATATTAATGACAAATGAATGAAAATTAAATTATGAGTTTTTACTTCATATTTTAGAAATAAAAATGACGGGGGAACACATTTATGACGTCTTTTTAAACAAAATTTTCTAGCGCGACCTGCCTGCTTCACTAAGTCACTGCTTATTAAGGTCCATCCAAAATTACCATGGCCCACCCAAAAATGAAAACCTGGCGCTGCGCCTATTATAAACCTCTGCAGATTGGTGTTCTTCACTTGATCAAACTCAGACTTTGTACAGCTAATGTCAAGATGTAAAATTATGAATTCAGTCGAGCTCTTCCGTCCCTCCCTCTCCTGCTCTCCTTGAACCCGACATCGGCTGTCAGAAGCGGGAGGTGAAGAAGGAGATGAGGCAAACAGAGTGAGTGTGACCTAAAGAAACCAGACTGGTGTGGAGGTGAGCAAAACAGCTGGAAAAGTGTGGGTGTTGAATCCCCCACGGGTGCGACGCCCATGGTACCGGCTGCTGTCACCTGTTGTGAGCAGCTCTCATGCTGTCTGAGGGTAGGCCCCGCCCACAACGCTGCGCTGTTGCGGCTCCCATTACTGTGGGAAATGGGTAATAATGGCTCTTTGATGGGAACAGGTTGCCGACCCCTGGTATAAGATCTGAGCTGGTAAAACAAAAATCCTCATCAGCAGGCTTTTTTGAAAGTGGGGGGGGGGGGGGGGGGGGGGGACAGCTGCCAATTACAAATTTTGCCGGGGACATGTCCCCGGCGTCCCCGGTTAAAATGACGCCTATCTATCTATCTATCTATCTATCTATCTATCTATCTATCTATCTATCTATCTATCTATCTATCTATCTATCTATCTATCTATCTATCTATCTATCGATCGATCGATCGATCGATCGATCGATCTATCTATCTATCTATCTATCTATCTATCTATCTATCTATCTATCTATCTATCATCTATCTATCTATCATCTATCTATCTATCTATATCTATCTATCTATCTATCTATGGAGGGACTTTAAGCAGCTTTTATTTCATGTTGAACAAACACAAACAGGACTAAATGAAATCTGTGGCAGTAATTATTTCTGCTGTTGACTGAGGTTTGTTTGCCGTAAGACAATCTTGTGTTTTTAATTCCAAGCAGCTGAAAATTGTATTTGTCAAACAAAAGTCAGCCTCTTCTTTTTACAGCTTAACAAATCTGGAATTCATTTGCCCAAGATTAAAAAAAAGACCAAAACCACCCTTCGAGCCCACATTTTTTACAGAAACAAGGTTAAGAGAAAGGAGAGAAAAAAAAGCACCCGTATCCTTTTCTCCTTTCCTCCATCTCTCCGCGGCCCTTATTTTCTAAAAGTATCTGTTTGAGAGATAAATGACCACTCTGCTGCCGAGGATGACAGCCTACACAAAGATGATATTGAATTGATTTCAGAAATGTTGCAGAACTGACTGTTTGATGTATACTGTCAGACATGAATCATAAAAATTCTATTAAAAAACCCTTGAATGGCTGACACCAGAATATTATTTGTGATGATTAATTTGACTCAGTCATTACAATGGGAGTCAAGCTGGATCGTCTCAGACAAAATTGCTTTTCATTCCCCATTGAATTTCCCCGCTATTTTTCTTTTCTTCTTGCTTTGTGCAGAACTCTGATCTGATTGGACTTAGTATGTTTGAGCAGCAACACACACACGTTAGAAACGTTGGTCATCTTTATTACCGATGTCCGAGCTCCGGGTTTGGTTCCAAATTTGGACTTTTGGTGTTCAAACCAGAAATCTAGGGAATTTTAACAGTTGTAGAAATGTTTTTATTTTAGTTAAATAAAAATAGTTGGAATATTTCATTTCTTTGCCAACCCAGCCTCATGTTTACTAGCTGTCCTTGTAATCAGTTTTTGCTAAGCTTGTACAGCTTGTTTTGGAACGTTTTAAAACTCCTTCCCCTCAGCAGAAATATGAGCATTAGTTGGTGTCATTACCATTCCAATTTACCAGAAAGTTATGTTGAAAACATTTAACCTTCAAAAATGAGTTTATCTGTTCTGTGGTTGCATTATCAATACCATCATGACATCATTATTTTTGTTTCGATCACAGATATGACAAACATGTAAATGAACCCAACATGTTATTGCCTTGATTATAATATTACGGCTTCTTTCAATCAAATTGTTGGATTTGTCTCATTAATTGGTGCTCTTTTATATTCTCATTTTTATTTTTGCAAACTTGCACATGTTTCCAGTGCTCGTTCCACATCTGTGCAACTTTTTCTCCTGTTAACAAAAAATAAATAAAATGATATCCCTTTTGGGCTTTGGTTGCATTTTCTTTTTTACTTAAATATGTTTCATTCATGATTAGTTTGTTTGATGTTCATACAGATGTGCAACACAGTTTTTGGGACATCTTTTGCACGGTGTGCAAATGATTCAAAGGCATTTGGCAGGGATGTCCAGTGTTATTTGGTCAATATTGATATTGAACAACACATTCTCACTCCCAGCACGTCAAAAACAAATGCTTGGTCAGCCACCCTCCACGTCAGACCCCAGACGCCAAAAGTGCCCTTTTTCGTTACTTATGTGCAAAAAGGGGTTTTTCCCTTTTGTAACTGCTGATCCCAATGCAGCGTAAAACTGATGTGATTAGATATCCGCTGATGCGGCACTGAACCAGCTCATTTAACCGCACCTAAACCTTAACGTTTCACTATTTATAACCTTCCCCTCTCCCTCATCCTAACCTTAACCCTCTTGCTACCTAAAACGTTACTCTCACTGTGATCAAGCGTTTGTTTCCCATGCATTCTGACTGAATTTTCGTATTTGCCGCCCAAGGGGAGCGATAGAACATACCATCTGGCGAGGGGGAGGTTACAAATACCCTCTACTTTTAACTTCCACCGATCGACACATCACTAACGTGTTCGCTAGCAAGATGGTTAAGGTTAGGATAGGGGTGAGGGGAAGGTTAAATAAGAGGATAAGGTTAAGGTGAGGTACAATGAGCTTGTTTGGTGCCCTGGCTGCAGACATCCCATCGCATCAGTAATGCTGCATGGGATGCAACGGTAGCGGACATCCCATCACGTCAGTTTTACGCTGCATTGGGATCTGCAGTCAAATAAGGGAAAAACCCCTTTTCGCACATAAGTAACGAAAAAGGGCACTTTTGGCATCGTGGAGGGTGGCTGACCAAGCGTTTGTTTTTGACGTGCTGGGAGTGAGGATGTGTTGCATTGAAATATGATATTGGAAATAATCATTACTGATTTTTGCTCTTAATGACACAACTTTTACAGACCATGCTCATTTTATTCATCAAACTCTTTCTCAAATTATCCGAATTTGACTGATCTAGTTTTTGTTTGTGTGGTACAACTGGCCTAATTTTAACTGATGCCATTTTAATGTTTTCCAAAGATAATGTTGAAAGTTTATGCATGATCGAAGTGAGTAATTGGAAGGTTGCAGGTTTGATCAGCGGTCAGTCTGTCAGGGTTGTTGCGTCCTTGGGCAAGCTGCTTCACCTACATTGCCCGCCGGTGTATGACAGCTTCTCTTCTGTCAGGGCAGCTGTGGCTACATCGTGGCTCATCCTCACCAGGGTGTGAATGTGTGTGAATGGGTGAATGACAAAATGAATCAGGTCATTTATTAATACAGGATTTGTGTTGGTATCAGAAATTAAGAGACTATTCTGATATATCAGATATCATTAAGAAAACAGTATCGAACATCCCCTGGTATTTACCTTTTAGGGCTTTTTCAACAAACGTTTTGCTCTTTCTCTCAATAACATGAAAAATGTTCTTGTTTGTGTACAAAGATTTGTAAGTTAACATTTAATCAGCTGCAGTTCGATTTTTTAAATTTAATTAGTTCTCTTTTCTAAATTTTTCTTCTGCATCTTAGAGCTACGGAGGTCAAACAGGCAGCGGCGGAGGAGGAGGTGGAGGTGGCGGCACCTCCAGCGGAAATGGAACCGGAGATGAAGACTATGAGATCCCCCCAATCACTCCACCCAACCACCCCGAGCCACCTCTTCTTCACCTGATGGAGCACGACTCCACGGGCTACCTCTGTCACTCGCTGCCACACAATGGTCTCATCAACCCGTATTCCTACCCCGAGCTGCCCACACTCATGATGTCCAACATGTTGGCACAGGACGGCCACCTCGTCTCCGGCCAGATGCCCTCGGTGAGTAGAACCTGCCTGGACTGGTGTGTCCCATCAAGGGTCTTGACAGCAATCGGGGGAAAATATTTCATGCTTTCTTCAATTGGAAACTTTCTGATGAAAACAAAACCAGGAAAAATTTAGCAGAAATAACATTTTCACTTCAACACTTGTGTGTTCAGTTGTGCCAAACCGACCCAAATTAATCATCAAACAGCTGATTTCTAACTAAACTAAATGTAATTTACAAAAAGAGGTATGTTGAGGCTAAGTGGGGGAACAAAAGATCGTTCAGCTGTTGCCGTGTCAGCTGTGGGGAAATTCATCAGCATCATATCTACCTCGACAGCATGCATCGGTCAATCTGTCAGGCCTTCAAACATGAATACATGCTGATTGCTCCTTCAGCTTCACACCTTCACACACACACACACACACACACACACACACACACACACACACACACACACACACAAAACCTCTATAAATTAGCATTTCCAAACCATAATTGCTTCCATGAGAACCGCAGAAAGACGCAGGCTTTCATTAGAACAACCTAAAGGCAACGTGTGCATTTAAAATCTACATATAGGCTTTAATGCTTGTATTTTGCAGCTGCAGCCCTAAAAATGCACTTTCATTTAAAATTCAGATGAGCTTTGAGTTTAATTTACTTAGGATTTTTTTCTTCCAAATGCAGCAATAATGTACTAAGCAGTGTTTTTTATTAGAGAAAATGAGACCATGTCAAATCTAAATTCATCTCTTTGAAACAGGAAGTGATTGATGCTTTTTTAATGATTGCAGCAAAGCTAAAATACAAAAACTTTACATAAGGAAAACAGTGCTTGCATAAATACACTTATTTGGTCTTTTATAAATGATAATAATAAATGACACACACTTGTATAGGGCCTTTCAGAACCAGAAGACTCCAAAGAGCTTTTCATTAAACTGTATGAGGTTTTATAGCTTTAAAGGGGACATATTATGACTTTCTTTTTAAGTTAAAATAGTTCTTGGGTCGCTACAAAACATGTTTATGAAGTTCTTTGTACTAAATCCCTCTGACATAAAGTGATTTCAGCAGTTTTATTCTTGTCATTTCAGTACCTTCCTGAATGAGTTGTTTCACAACTATGCCACTTTAAAGGTGTGGAACACTAAAAAAAACATTTTTAATGATTATTTCTGACTATATACAGTCACTCTGAGATTTTCATGCAAGCTTAACGTGAAAATAGTCTCCTACATCTATCTCCTGCATTAGCTTCTGATAGAAAATAAGCTGTGAAAATCCTGACAGATCACTTAACAAAATGAACTCACCCATCTTGACTCATGAGGGGGAAGGCTGCTGTTGGTTTAGCATCCAGCAAACAGCAGAGAGCGTCTCAGCTAGTAGAAGCTAAATGTTACCACATGGCAGAACTCCTCCAGACTTGTGTTATTTGTGGAGAAAAAACATCAATAATGCACAGGAAACAGAGTCAGTGGTAGTGGCATGTTGCTGTTATCCGATCCAAGGCAAGATGTCCAAATATCAGGAAAAAAAAAACTCCAAAACCTGCCGTCTGATCAGCTCCGATGTGGCTCTCGTCTAGATTCTGAAACAAGTGCACCGATGCTTCCCACCCCCACAGTACAACTTACAAGACATTCATTCCTACTACATATCATTGCAAATGTATTGATTAAAAAATTAAACCCCATCTTTAAGAAAACAAGCTGGAGCTGGCCATGCCCACTCACCCCCCTCTCAGGCTGCTATAGGCTGAGCAGCTCTGATATATGGGCAGGACTTGGAGTAGAGCCACAAGTCATCCAGCAGCAGCTCTCTCTTGCACCTGAGAGATGGTTCTATTCTAATTTTCCGTTTGTGAAATCACAAATGGGGACTTTTAAAAAGTGCTTGCTTAAGGTACATAGTTCCTAAAATCAAACATAGACATAAAACAGATAGACAGATGTTTTTCATATTTGGAGTGTATGTAAAAGCTGTAGAGACCCACTTGGAAGCACAAAAGGATGGAAAAGCTGAGGTTTGTGTAATATGTCCCCTTTAAATTTCAATTGACTGTAAATAGGTATGTAAAAACGTAAAGATGCAATGGTGTTTTGCACATTTATTTAAAAAGATAAACTTATCTGCTATATATAAATAGATACATGAATATCAAGGTACATTATGATGTATAATACTCCTCACAGACACAGAAAAGGAGCAATACAATATTCAGTGCGCAGTCAAAATATGTCTCGATAAAGATCTGGAACATAAACATGCTATGCTATGTATATAATGCAGGAATATTCCCTCAGGGTATTGGATTCTCCTGTCATTTATCTTCATATTCATTTCACATTTTGGTCATGACCTTTACTGCTGCGACAGTGGTTGATTGGCCAGTCCTTCACTCTGTGCTCAGTGTGTTTGTTTCTGCTCCAAAGAGCCACGCTGCTGTTTTAATAGCTCGAATGCGGCAGGCTGAATCATAAAAATGCATGAGATTCTAAATGTTCAGCTCACGCAAACATATCGCACTTATATTTAAAACACATTTACTGAAAATGCTGCTGGAGAGAGCTGCTCCGATACCCTCGGCTCATTTAAAGGGCATTCTTTTTAGATAGTGATAATGTAAAAGTTATGTTGTTTCAATTAAGGGGATGCTTAACCTGTATGTGCTTCTGTATGAATGTTATAAATAATTACTAGTGTACCATTGTAGATAGATTTCTGAGACTCGTCTGTTTGGAGGGATAGCTTTTATATCGCCGAGGGGCTTAAATCAGGTCCAATCTCCAATATTTTTGTTCAGTTTTACTTCATAAATCTTTACATCTTCATCAATTTTATAATATAAAGTTATTACACATCAGTGTGACTGTCAGGAACAACCAAATGAAGCACTTCCCGTGCATCCAGGATTGAAGTTTAGCAGGATTTTATTTTACTTTCTGTTGAATTTAATGGAAATACATGGAGATTTATAAAAAAATGTTCACATGAAACTACTTAAATTTTTAAACATATCAGAAACATATTTAGTTTTTTGTTGCTTTATACTAGCATTTCCATCCTGTAGAATTTTAATGCTTATTTCTGCCATTTGGGAAGGTAAAATACTAACAGTGTATCATTTTTACACAGAAAAAAGGTTTAAAATGGGTGAAAATACACCTTTAGAAAATAGAAACATTTTAAATTGCCTAGAGGTTGGTGTGCTCTTTACTTATGGACAAAATGGGTAAAGGATGATTATATAGGTTGACATAATTCAAACACATAGTTAAAATGAAGAGTTTCAACTGAGTGATTTGTGATTGTTTGCAAATTATACTTTAAATCAAACATTTTAAATCCATATAACTTTCTGAAAGGAGCTTGGAGATCTTTTCAGTGCTTTGATTCAAGTTCACTCGAAAAAGCTGCAAATAAAGCGAACTCATTCTAAATCAAATAGTCTGCCTGGCAAAACTAGCAAACCGTAGCAGAGTTTCATTTGTGCCGAGAGCCGAGTGTCTATTAAATCGGTGCCTCACCTTGACACAGTCTGTTGAGCAGAGTAATTAAGCAAACTCTGCAGTTCAAACATGAGATGGTATCGTTATGAATTCCTCACTTGACACAGGCGGATAAATAATGAGGGTTAATTCAAATTTCTGGCTCTTTTTTTATTTTTTTTTATTATTTTGTAGCTAAAACTTGCACCATACCAAAATATCAACCGTCCATGTTGACGTTGTTATTCGTGTGTGTGTGTGTGTGTGTGTGTGTGTGTGTGTGTGTGTGTGTGTGTGTGTGTGTGTGTGTGTGTGTGTCCGAGTGTGTATACATATTTCTGTGTCTTCACTATAAACAATATCTGCTGTTGAAATGGATCCACTACATCTGGAGGTCAGGCCTTATATTCAATCTTGAGCACATTGAAAAAAAAAATCCATTAGGGTTCATCTTTCCTGCATCAGCCATTCTATTGTGGTGCTGCAGTGAGATCTGTTTTCATCAAGCAGATTCAATACGTGAGCTGGGCAGTGAAAAGAGTGCAATAGAGTTAGATGAAGGGAGGAGAGGTTGAGGGTGTGTGTGTGTGTGTGGCGGGGGGGGGGGGGGGTCGTAGTGAGGAAAGCAAGGAGAAAAAGGTAACTCATATTCAAAATGAGCATATACCTCCAGTTTTCTGTACCTCCTGGATTTCATTATTAGATATTTTAGAGATAATTCAGTTGAGTGAATTAAGGTTATTGTATCGCAACAAAAGCTTCTGGTTTTTGATGTGGACCCGTTTGATTTTGAAACATGAGGGCATTTGAAAGTACTCCAATGCAGGTGCAACAATGTAAACTCATAATAAATAGGCTGATTATATAACAACAAGGCTTTAGACAAAGCACCATCACGGCGGTAGTTGATCACAGTCACGAAGCTGTTAGACAGAATAGATGAAGGGTGTTGGGTTTGTTGTGCTTAGGTGAACCACTAGACTTAATGGTGTTTAAAAATACATTTGTAAATGGATTCAACAATGCATTGTGGGTATAGTCCTTAATGACCAAGATTTACGCTCACTTATCAAATCCCAAATACAATTCTGGGAAATAACTCAAGATGTCTTTTATTTCTCTGTAGTTTTGCAACAAATAAGACAGAATCCTTGTACTTTTGTAGACATGGTTTTAAGTTACATTGATCTACACCTCATAAAAGTATTTTTAAGCTTTTTGGTCACTTTTGGACTATTTTTTTGCAGTTTTTTGCAGGAACTCAATTAATATGCGGTTTTGTTATTTTGTCTGCCAAAATTCCCAATAATTCCCATTTTTTTATACAAAAGACCAAATATAGCCCGTCCTGACAGGAATTATACAGCATTTTTACTCCAAGTGACTTGCAAAGACATGGTTAACAGATTGATTAATTTGTTTTCAAAAAATTCTTTATAGCTACTTCTTAATAAACCCAAGGTGTATGGAAACCCACTGAGTGGTAGGTGGCTTCTGGCAGGGGAGGGGGGCAG